GGGGTTTAGGGGTTTAGGGGTTTAGGGGTTTAGGGGTTTAGGGGTTTAGGGGTTTAGGGGTTTAGGGTTTAGGGTTTAGGGTTTAGGGTTTAGCGTTCAGGGTTCAGGGTTTAGGGTTTAGGAGGATTTCTGGAACTAGGCACCCTCTGCTAAATCCCTTAAAAGGGGTTGTATAGGGGGATGTAAGGTACCTCATGGGTCCAATCCTAGAACACACCCTTAAGGGTTTAGGGTTTAGGGTTTAGGGTTTAGGGGTTTAGGGTTTAGGGTTTAGGGTTTAGGGTTCAGGGTTTAGGGTTTAGGGTTTAGGGCTTAGGGCTTAGGGTTTAGGGTTTAGGGTTTATAAGTTTAGGTTTAGGGTTTAGGGGTTTTCTTGGGGATTTTGGGTTTTTGGCGGTTTCGGGGGTTTAGGGGTTTTGGGGTTTGGGTTTTGGGGGTTTAGGGGTTTGGGGGTTTGGGGCTTTGGGGTTTGGGGTCTTAGAATATGTAGAACCGAAGTCCCGAATTCCCTGAAGGGTATGCTCAGGGAATCAGGAGTACCCTATAAAACACTTAGAGAGACTGCGGTGCATGAAGAAACTGATTCCCTCATTCCCTTAAGGGTCTAGCGTTCGAGGCCACTTGGGACCGAGGTCGACCGGTGTAGGCTTCGGGCTCAGGGTCGAAGGTTGGGGGTTTGGTATTTGGGGTTTAGGGTTTGGGGTTTCGGGTTTGGGGTTTGGGGTTTAGGGTTTAGGCTAAGGCCCACAGAAGTACGAGAAACAACGAGAAAAAAGAGAGCAGATAGCTTCAGGAATCCACAGGGCTCAGGGAAGGCGAGAGTGGAGCAGAAGAAGAAAAGCCCCACAGCGGACTCCTAAACCCTAAACCCTAAACCCTATGTCAGTGGGTCACGTCCTACATGTATCTTCAGTGACCCGGCCGGTGCTATGTGAACCCTCGACCCTCTGCACCCTAAACCCTCAACCCCGAGCACCCGAAGCACCCTAAACCCTCAGTACCCCAAGCTCCACCCCCTAAACCCTAAACCCCAAAACCCCTAAACCCTAAACCCTAAACTCCACATACCCTAAACCCTAAACTCTACATACCCTAAACCCTAAACCCCTCAGCAACGGCGCACAGCGCGGCCTGAGATCCGAAGGCGACCAGCATGTGCACGAGGATGCTCGGGGGCAACATCGCTCCTGCAAGGGCACTTCGACGTCTTCGAAGTTTTAAGGATTTAGCGTATGGGGTTTAGGGCATAGGGCATGGGGTTTAGGGTTTAGGGTTTGGGGTTTAGGGTTTAGGGTTTGCGGTTTGGGGTTTAGGGTTTCGGGTTTCGGGTTTACGGTTTACGGTTTACGGTGGTTGCTGGAGGTTACGAGAGCACAGGGGTTCAGGGTCTCGGGGCTGCGAGGTTTTGATCCCCTGCGAGGCACTTTCATTGTCGAATTCCTAGTACAGTGACCCTCAAAAAAGAAGTCCGAAGTTAAAAAAAACCTAAAAGCACAGCTGAATCCTAAACCCTCAACCCTAAACCCTAAACCCTCAAAAGAACCGCTGAACCCAGCCTGTGGCAATGGGTACCAGTGAGCGCGTGAGCTTCTTAGAGGCTGAAAGGACCGTCTCGGCCATGACGCTATCCTGGCCCAGAGGAAGGCGTTTGTCTGGTTTTGGGTTTAGGATTTAGGGTTTAGGGTTTAGGGTTCAGGGTTTAGGGTTTAGGTTTTAAGGTCGGGGGGGGGGGGGAGGGGGTGTAGTATTGACGGTATGTAGGGTTTGGGATTTCGGGGTTAAGGGTTCAGGGCTTAAGGTTTAGGATTGAGTGTTGGATCATTTTTCTGGGTCGCTTTTGAGGAACTTAAACTAAGCTACCATAATTACTGTGGATGCCTACTACCTGGCTTTGATATCTTCATGTAAGGTGCTGAGTGGCAACCAAGTTGCAACTACCGCGAGATTTGCACAAAGCTCTCAGCCCACAAAAGAACGTGCCAGCACTCTTGGGCCTTCTAACCCTAAACCCTAAACCCTAAACCCTAAACCCTAAACCCTAAACCCTAAACCCTAAACCCTAAACCCTAAACCCGACACCGTCAGAAAGGGTCTCACCAAAGGTCTAATTTGGGAACATTACGGAATGTGGTGAGTGGTTGCAGGGAATATCTCAGCGGGTTCAACAGTGTTAGGGTTGAACTAGGGTTTAGGGTTTAGGGTTGAGGGCATCGACTATACTGCCCTTTGATCCATGACAAAAAACTGACCCTGTTGCTAGTATTCCCCTGAAGCTTATAGGCACAGAGTGAAAACATATTTTCCCCTAAACCCTACACCCTAAACCCTAAACCCTAAACCCTGAACCCTAAGAAAACCATCCCGGCTCCCGAAGCACCCCCCAGGGCCTTCGGCATCTGCTTCACATCTATGTTGAGGACGCTGCGGAGCTCCCGCCACGCGAATGGCTTTCGGTCCAGGGTCCTGTTGGTATGGCGGCTTAGGGTTTAAAGGTTTAGGGTTGAGGGTTTCGGGTGTAGGGTTTAGGGTTTAGGGTTTAGGGCTTAGGGCTTAGGGCTCAGGGGCTAGGGGTTAGGGGTTTGTACGGCGGTTTAGGGTTGTTGGTCAAGTCTAGGGATAGGCTTTGACAGGGTTTAAGGGTTACGGTTTAGGGTTTAGGGTAGTTATCTCTTCTTGGGCGGCCCTATACCCTCACACCCAATTAGCCTCGACCCCTGAAGGGTTTAGGGTTTAGGGTTTAGGCTTTAGGGTTTAGGGTTTAGGGTTTAGGGTTTAGGGTTTAGGCTTTAGGGTTTAGGGTTTAGGGTTTAGGGTTTAGGGTTTAGGGTTTAGGGTTTAGGGTTTAGGGTTTAGGGTTTAGGGAACCCCAGAACCCTACGTCGAGGGGCGGCGCTGCGCCCTTCGCCCGCATCTCGATGCCTGGAGAGAAAAAGGAAGGTTGCTGGATCCTAGAATTGGCTCCCTGAAGCCCCAAACCCTAAACCCTAAACCCTAAACCCTAAACCCTAAACCCTAAACCCTAAACCCTAAACCCTAAACCCTAAACCCCAAAAACCCTAAACTCTACAAACCCTAAACTCTATAAACCCTATAACCCCCAAACCCTGGACCCTACCGTTGCTCAGACTTAGGGAATCCGAGCCTATGAAGGGTTTTGGGATGCTCAAACCCACTTTACGCTTCAAGCTCTAAGCTCGCAGTCGGCGGGATAGACGCTGAACCCTTTATATAACCCCTACGGTTTGGGGCGTAGGGTTTAAACCTTATACAGCGCGGCAAGACTCTACACCCTATATAAACCCTAAACCCTCTACAACCCCATCATACCCCTAGGAAACCCCTAGATTCTTAGATGACCCTATGTGACCCAACATGAGTCTACACAACCCTTTCGCAGAACAGGCGGATGCCTGCGGCTTGAGGTTAGTTTCGGGCTTGGGAGGGTTTAGAACCTAAACCTGGAAGGGGGTTTAGGGTTCAGAACCTAAACCCTGGAACCCTACAGTCCAAAACCAGAACCTCAAGGGTCATATGGGGTTATATAGACTGTAAATTGGGCAACGTTTCATACAGGGTTACATAGGGTTGTTAAAGGTTATGTAGGGTACTACAGCCTCATGGTGCGAAGGGCTCGGGGTGCTTTGCCTAATACGTGTGAAGGATGTCTATCGTGGCACGCGCGGGGTACTGGTTCAGAAGCCTGCAGCCCCGTGCTCGTCTACATTTGGGGTTAAGGCTTAATCCCCTCCCCCTAATATTAAACATCTACCCCCTACCCCTGAATGTTAGATACCCCCATTATAGTTATAATATAGTATCTTGGGGGGGCATCTAGTATTAGGGGGTAGGGGGGGGGCTTTCATACTAGGGGGAAGGGATTAGAGATTCGGGTTTAGGGTGTAGGTTTAGGGAGGGTTCACAGGTTAGGTTTCAGAGCGTGCGGTCTAAAGATTAAGGGTGCGGCCTGGAGGACGTAGAGCATCCCTCCCGAAATAAACCCTAAACCCTAAACCCCCAACTCTAAACCCTAAACCCTAAACCCTAAGCCTAAACCCTAAACTAAACCCTAAACCCGCCTCTCTTTGCCAGGTCATCCGATCGCTTGGCCGCCAGATATGCGAGCCGCTGCTCGTGAAGGTTCTGGATGTAGGCCTACGGGCCAGAAGTCGAAAACGGCACCAGGTTCTCATTGGAGCTTAGGGTTTGGGGTTTAGGGTTTCTTGGTTTGGGGTTAAGTTTTCAATCCCCGCCCCCTTTTGAGCTCGCCCGCCCACCTCTCCCCTGACAATAAATGCATATACGTATTCCCCATTGTGGAACACAGCGGTCATGGTGATGGCTAGGGCGGGAGGGGCTCAACATCGGGAGGATTTAGGTTCAGGCTCGAACCACGAAGCGACCTTCCCAGATGACTGGAGGCCGTTCCTCAAGAAGGGCTTAGCGTTTAGGGTTCAGGGTTCAGGGTTCAGTGTTTAGGGTTTAGGGTTTGGGGTTTAGGGCTTAGGGTTTAGGGTTCGTAAGGATCCTTTCATTACCCCAACCCCCCAAAATAGATCGTATCTTGGAGGCTGGGAGAAACCAAATGACCCCCTAACCCTGAACTGCAAAGCCCGTCGACCCTCAACCCAAAGCGAAAAGCCAAGAAACAACCTAAACCCTCATGGCGAGCAGCGTTTTCGAGCTGGGCTTTTCAGTGGTCGTCTCGGCGTTTAGGGTTCAGAGCTCAGAGATCAGGGTTACGGGTTTAGGGTTTAGGGTTTAGGGTTTAGGGTTTAGGGTTTAGGGATTAGGGATTAGGGTGTAGGGTTTAGGGTTTAGGGTTTAGGGTGTAGGGATTAGGGTTTAGGGTTTAGGCTTTAGGGTTTAGGGTTTAGGGTTTAGGGTTTAGGGTAGGCAAGCGAGCCTTGTACTCCTCACGTTCCCTCTGTGCGAGCATGAACTCCTCCACCGCGCTGGTGGCAAAGTTGACGATGACCTGGCGGACCCTTGCAGCACCCGAGAAGTCGCAATTAGGGTTTAGGGATTAGGGTTTGGGGCTTAGGGCTTAGGGGTTTAGGGGTTTAGGGTTTAGGGTTTCGGGGTTTAGGGTTTAGGGTTTAGGGTTTAGGCTTTAGGGTTTAGGCTTTAGGGTTTAGGGTTTAGGGTTTAGGGTTTGGATGGGTAGAGAGGCTCAGCGGGTTGAGAACCCTAAGCCCTAAACCCTAAACCCGAACCCCAAACCCTAAATCCTGCCAGCCGAAGGGGGGAGAGGAAAGCCCAACTCTGCAACACAAAGCCTAGAAGCTCCAAAACCCTCAATCCTAGGTTTGGGGTTTAGGTAATCTAGGGTTTAGGGTTTAGGGTTTAGAGTTTAGGGTTTAGGGTTTAGGTTTTAGGTTTTAGGGTTTAGGATTTAGGGTTTAGAGTTTAGGGTTTAGGGTTGAGGGTTTAGGGTTTAGGGCTGCACTCTACGGCCTACACCCTAGCCTTGGCCCCCTTCCCCCGTCGGTCGCCTGGCCATTCAGGGAGGCCATGTTTCCTTCCACGACCTCCCCGAGAATTAGGGTTTAGGGTTTAGGGCTTAGGGTTTAGGGTTTAGGGTTTCGGGTACCCGAAACTCCCAAACGCCCCCACCACCCCAAAACCCCGCGAACCCCAAGCCAATTCAAGCCCACATGCTCCCAAACCCCAAGCCCTACAACCCCAAAACCCGGGGCCTAAAACCAAATTTGAGGGGTCTTTCCCGGCCCTAAACCCTAAACCCTAAACCCTAAAGAACAATCACCCTCAACCCCGGGAGCACACAAGTCCGCTCCAAAGCAAAACTCCGCCGAGCTAGGGTTCAGGGCTTAGGGCTTAGGATTTAGGGTTTAGGGATTGAGGCTTAGGGTTCAGGGTTTTGGGTTTGGGTTCGGGGTTGAGGCTTTATATGGGTTCAGGGTTGAGGGTTTATAAAGTATTCTGAAGCCCTCTTGACGACACCCGCACCCCGCGGCCAAACCCTATAAACCCCGTAAACCCTATCAAACCCCATAAAACCCTAAAAATTCTAGGAACCCTACAAACCTCCATGAACCTGATAGAAAAGAACCTATCAACCCTGTAAAAAACTATAAACCCCAAGAAAAAAAACCTATAAACCCTAAAAAAAGACTATACCCCCCCAAAGAAACAAACAAACCTAAAATCAACTCTAAACCCTCTCAGACTTCGGCCTCCTGCTTCTCGGACAATATATACCCAAAACAACTAGAAGCCCTTATTCTTAAAACAAAAGCAAAGCCCTTAAAAACAAAAAAAAAACTACAAAAACAAATTGGAAGAACTTAAACCGACAAAACTTCGGCCTCCTGCTTCTCGGACACTATATACCCAAAAAGACAAAAAATATAAGCCCTAAACCCTCAGCCCTAAACCCTAAAACCCTAAACCCTAAACCCTACACCCTACACCCTAAAACCGACAAACCTTCGGCCTCCTGCTTCTCGGAGGCCAGCGCCAGCGGATCGAAGGCGGCGTCCGGGAGGCTGGGCACCGCGACGGGCAGCCAGGTGAAGTCCCCCTTTGGGTCCAAGAGGGCTTTTGTAGGAGACCGGGGAAGTAGGGTTTAGGGTTTAGGGTTTAGGGTTTAGGGTTTAGGGTTTAGGGTTTAGGGTTTGGGGTTTAGGGTTTAGGGTTTAGGGTGTAGGGTTTAGGGTTTAGAGTTTAGGGTTTAGGGTTTAGGGCTATTGGGCGAGTGCATATGAGCCATGGTTTTTATTCGATGGTGTTTTTAATGGAAATTTATTTCCTTCCGCGGAACCCTTCCGCGGACCTTCCGCGCCTCGAAAGGTAGCTTCCGCGTGGCATGTTTTTAGAGCTTTCTTCCGCGGACCCTTCCGCGGAGCCATTTTCGCGTGAATTCGTACAGTTCCTTCCGCGCAGTACGTTTGTAGTCTTAGGCACGTGTCCCATGAAGTTCCGGAACGACTGTCGATGTTGAAACCGAACAAGCACATGGTGTAGGTTAGTCTGCGGCCCACACCACGTAGAAGAAATGACAGAACCGCGCATGAACACAATGAAATCTGTAGACGACACAGTTGTGCAGGGTTCGTCGTTTTGCTGCTACTACGTCGTCATGTCGAAGATGGTGTTTCACAAGCAAGGCTACACGAAGCGGAAGCCTACTACTCCAGAATGGACCCCATCCTTCCGCGGAGCTTCCGCGGAGCTTCCGCGGAGCTTCCGCGGATTTCCCGCACCCGCCTCCCATCCAAACACCATTGCGCTAGACGAGGTTTGCGGGGCTGCTGGGTAGGTGGTTGTTACTTAGTTCGTGGTACTTTTGGAGCGTAGCCCAAAAGCCTAAACCCTAAACCGGCCAGGCGCCAGGGTTATGCTTAAGACGGAGCTTCCGCAAGCTTCCGCGGGAAGATGCTTCCGCCAAACCTTCCGCGTGCTTCCGCGGCCACAGCGCGGAGCTCATTCTGAGCACAAAACCAAAATATATTTCCGTACTAAAGTAACTTTCAAGAAGCGCCTAAAAAAACCGCAGCTCATATAGGGTTCCTTCTAAATATTGGTGAGTGTATGCCGGGGTTTGAAAGTTTAAGGGTTTGAGAAGTTTTGTGCTTTAGGGGTTGAAGGTTTAGGGTCTTAGGGTTTAGGTTTAGGGTTTAGGGCTTGGGGTTTAGGCTGAAGGGTTTAGGGTTTATAAGGAGGCGCACGGGGTTGGGAGAAGGCTTTGGGGCTCTAGGGGCTTCACGATTGAAAGCTCTGCCAGATCCTACTCCCAAAACTAACCCCCTTGGAACCTCTTGGGTTTAGGGTTTAGGGCTTAGGGTTCGGGCGCCTTGGCTTGAGAAGTCTTTGGAAGAGCGCTTGAAATGCTCTGGGTAATTGGGGTTGAGGGTGTAGGGTTAACACCCATCCTCAACCTGAAGCCTGAAACCCAAAACCCTAAACCCTAAACCCTAAACCCTAAACCCTAAACCCTAAACCCAGGGTTCAGAGGGTTTAGGGAGTTTAGGGAGCTTAGGGAGCTTAGGGAGCTTCGGGAGATTAGGGAGTGTAGGGAGTTTAGGGAGTTTAGGGGGTTTAGGGAGCTTAGGGCTGCGTGAGGCCGCCGGGCCTGGACCACTGCAGGTGCCGCAAAGGTCTCCTCTCGCTCCTGACCCCAGTTTAGGGTTTAGGGTTTAGGGTTTAGGGTGGGGTTTAGGGTTTAGGGTTTAGGGTTTAGGGTTTAGGGTTTAGGGTTTAGGGTTTAGGTTTTTGGGTCGAAACCCTTAACCCTTAACCCTGAACCCTAAACCCTTGTTAACCCAGTAACCCTAAACCCTAAACTCTAAACTCCCTAAACCCCAGTAACTAGTAACCCGAACCCTAAACCCTAAACCCTAAACCCTAACCCCCAAACCCTAAACCCTAAACCCTAAACCCTAAACCCTAAACCCTGAACCCTGAACCCTGATAACCCTAAATCTTTACGGTCGGCTCAGTGCTTCTCAGATGGGGCTCGGGAGCTCTGCTAGGGCATGGAAACCGTTGCTAAACCCTAAACCCTAAACCCTAAACCCAAAACCCAAAACCCTAAACACTAAACCCTAAACCCTAAACCCCAAACCCTAAACCCTAGACCCTAAACCCCAAACCCTAAACCCTAACCCTTCGTTCTGAACCCTGAACATCCTTCAACCCTAAGCCCTGCATCCGAACTGCATCTCCTCCACAAGGACGGGCAGCTCTTCTTGAGGATCACGTTGCCATCGAATGCCCTGCCACTTCCTTGCAGAGGAGTTCGGGTTGGGGTTTAGTGTTGAGGGTTGAGGGTTTGGGGTTTCGGGTTTGGGTTTGAGGTTAGGCAATACCTTCCCCAGCGCTTCTGAAAAGTTACGAGTCAGAAATCTTGGGGTTGGCATCAGGTCCGCAGGCTTTCAGCTGGCCCCGGCCGAGGGACGAGCATCATGAGCATCAGCTGCGCATCGCTTCAGCTGGTTCTTGCCGTTGGGCGAGCATCATGAGCATCAGCTGCCTGGCATTTCGGTCATGCGACGAGTATCAAGAGTATGATGGGCATCAGGTTCGCATGCTTTCAGCTGACCCCGGCCGCAGGACGAGCATCACGAGCATCAGCGGCGCATCGTTTCGCTCATGCGGCGAGCAGCAGGAGCATCATGAGCATCACGTGCGCATGCTTTCAGCTGGCCCCAGCCGAGGGACGAGCATCATGAGCATCAGCTGCGCATCGCTTCAGCTGGTCCTTGCCTTTGCGCGAGCATCATGAGCATCAGCTGCCTGGCATTTCGGTCATGCGACGAGTATCGAGAGTATGATGGGCATCAGGTTCACATGCTTTCAGCGGACCCCGGCCGCAGAACGAGCATCACGAGCATCAGCGGCGCATCGTTTCGCTCATGCGACGAGCAGCAGGAGCATCATGAGCATCACGTGCGCATGCTTTCAGCTGGCCCCGGCCGAGGGACGAGCATCATGAGCATCAGCTGCCTGGCATTTCGGTCATGCGACGAGTATCAAGAGTATGATGGGCATCAGGTTCGCATGCTTTCAGCTGACCCCGGCCGCAGGACGAGCATCACGAGCATCAGCGGCGCATCGTTTCGCTCATGCGACGAGCAGCAGGAGCATCATGAGCATCACGTGCGCATGCTTTCAGCTGGCCCCAGCCGAGGGACGAGCATCATGAGCATCAGCTGCGCATCGCTTCAGCTGGTCCTTGCCTTTGGGCGAGCATCATGAGCATCAGCTGCCTGGCATTTCGGTCATGCGACGAGTATCAAGAGTATGATGGGCATCAGGTTCACATGCTTTCAGCGGACCCCGGCCGCAGGACGAGCATCACGAGCATCAGCGGCGCATCGTTTCGCTCATGCGACGAGCAGCAGGAGCATCATGAGCATCACGTGCGCATGCTTTCAGCTGGCCCCGGCCGAGGGACGAGCATCATGAGCATCAGCTGCGCATCGCTTCAGCTGGGCATCAGCTGCCTGGCATTTCGGTCATGCGACGAGTATCAAGAGTATGATGGGCATCAGATTCGGATGCTTTCAGCTGACCCCGGCCGCAGGACGAGCATCATGAGCATCAGCTGCCTGGCATTTCGGTCATGGGTATGAAGAGCATCATGAACATCAGGTTCGCATGCTTTCAGCTGCCCCCGGCCGCAGGACGAGCATCACGAGCATCGGCCGCGCATCTTTTCAGCCGGCCCTTGCTTTTCGGCGACCCGAACTCACAGAACTTCCTTCAAAGAATCCCAGTGCCGGTTGTCCTGAACCCAAACCCGAACTAAAACCCCCTAACCCTAAACCCTATCCAAAGAATCTAGGGTTGCCTGGCTGGTCATTCCTTAGATTTTGGAGTATACTCTGGGGTAGCGTCATACTCGGACTTGCAAGTGCCCCTAAGAGTTTCCCTTCACACACTCCTCCTATGGCCTTTATATCGTCTTAGGGGATCTTCAAAGAGGGTCCCCAAAACCTAAGGATACAACCTTAGGGGCACAAGGAAAAAAAACCAAAATCCTAAACCCTAAGCCCTAAACCCTAAACTCTAAACCCTAAACCCCAAACCCCAAACCCTATACCCTAAACCCTAAACCCTAAACATCCCATGAGCCCCCTAACTTGCAGCAACCCTTAATCCTAAATCCCTTCGAGGTGCCTCTCTGCCTGCACCGGGGCACAAGTCCTAAAGCCCAACTGAAGTGCGAGGTTTAGGGTGTAAGGCTTAGGGTTTAGGGTCTAGGGTCTAGGGTTTAGGGTTTAGGGTTCAGGGCTTAGGGTTTAGGGTTTAGAGCTTAGGATTTAGGGTTTAGGGTTAAGGCTTAGGGCTGGCAAAAGGTTTAGGAGTTCGGGCAGTCAAGGGACAAGAGACTAGAGGAGGGACCAGAGGCTATCTAGAAGAAAAGGTAGGGTCTCCAAAAACCCTCAACTCTAAACGCAAGCTGAACTTCCAAAATCCCAAGCAAGCAAGCAAGCTAAACATCCCACTGGAATCAGGGTTTAGGGTTTAGGGTTTAGGGTTTAGGGTTTCGGGTTTAGGGTTTAGGGTTCAACTCAAAAACTCAACCCTCTGCCACGGCACAGCCATTCTGGAGCTGCCGCCTCGCTCTGTCTCTCTTTTCGGTTGCTTTGATGACCGGTTCCAGGGTTTAGGGTTTAGGGTTTAAGGTTTAGGGTTTAGGGTTTAGGGTTTAGGGTTTAGGGTTTAGGGTTTAGGGTTTAGGGTTTAGGGTTTAGGGTTTAGGGTTTAGGGAACGTTAATGACACAGGAGAGTGCATGAAACAAAGGCTTGCAACATTACTGCGCAAAAGTCGGGGGAAGGCTTGAGACCGCTTGGTGCCGTAGGGTTTAGTTTAGGATTTAGGGTTTAGGGTTTAGGGTTTAGGGTTTAGGGTTTAGGGTTTAGGGTTTAGGGTTTAGGGTTTAGGGTTTAGGGTTTAGGGTTTAGTGTTTAGGTTTTAGGGTTTAGGATTGAGGATTTAGGATTTAGGGCTGCATTTCACAGAACGAGTTCCCTTGGCTAGGGTATCAGGGGGTGAGTTCCAGGTTAGGAACCCTTCTTCAGGGATCCGAGCTATAAGAATGCCTATTCAAAAAAAGGGTGCCTGTAAACCAGAGGCTGTTTTTTCACAACAACCCTAAGCCCTAAAACCCTCAACCCTCAACACTGATTGTGGTGTAGTCACGCATGGCTGTCGGACTTCATCACATTGCACCTCAAACTCTCCAACCCTAAAACCCTCAACGCTAAACCCTAAACCCTTGAACCCTCAAACCCTGAACCTAAATCCCCAAACTCTAAGCCCCAAAACTCTAAACCCCCTAAACCCTAAACCCTTAACCCTAAAACCCGAAACCCTAAACCCTCAAACCCTTAACCCAAAACCTTAAACCCTAAACCCTAAACCCTAACCCTCCCCTAAACCCTTAAACCCTTTAAGAGAGCCGAGGGCCGGACGTTGTCCTCGATGTCGTCGAGGTTGGCGAAATCAAACATCTTCTCAAGACCTCATCTCTGGCGCCAGTGGTAGCTAAGGGTTTAGGGTTTTAGGGTTTAGGGTTCAAGGTTTAGGATTTAGGGTTTAGGGTTTAAGGTTTAAGGTTTAAGGTTTAGGGTTTAGGGCTTAAGCTTTAGGATTTGGGGGGGCGGGGGGGGTGGAGGAGTGCGGTTTAAGGCTCAGGTTCAAACGCTCACATATCCCCTTTCTGCATCGTACTAAGCCCTCAACCGCATGTAATCCCCACAGATTTCCCTCTACCGATTGCCGCACTTTTTCCGTACCACGAGTTGGGGTTTCGTGCCCGAGGACTCTCTACCCAGAGAGCCCACTACACCAGGAATACACCTTCATTCAAAAAAAATCAAAACAGAAGCCTATCGATCCCTTCATACTTCAGATGGTTGCTTGCCTGTGGCAGAGAGTTCTGAAATGTGACCCTTTGCTCTCGTACGCAAGGGGAAACCCTCAACCGTCAACCCGAAACCCTACACCCCAAAACCCAGACCCTAAACCCGAAACCCCAAACCCTAAACCTTAGCGAAGCAAAACCACACCCTAAACCAAAAGAAATCAGGAGCCCAAACTGAGGGGCCCTGGGCCCTCAGGAGCTTTTCGGGCTTCGGGTTTTGGATTCTAGGTTTTTGGTGGTTTAGGCTCTTGTTGTTTGGGATTCAAGGCTCACCCCAAACCTGAAACACCAAAAGTCCAAAGCCCCTAAATCCTCGACCCCTAAACCCTAAACACACACCCTCACGAACAAACGGCGAAAAACCTAAACCAGTAAACTGGCAGGGTTTAAAACCCACTCGCCGGAAGGAAACCTCTGCGCGCAAGGAACATAAGTTCAGTTACCATGACGTGGTGATATAGCTTCAAGTTCCTGAAAAGCAACCCTCAAAAGCCTAAACCCCAAAGACTTGGTATACCACAAAGCAGTACTAGTGTCTTTTCGCACTATTAGGGAAGCTACCCACACACTGAACCCTACACCGTACACCCTATCTTAGTTAGCAACGGCCACAAGAGGGTCCCAGCGGAGTTCTGTAACAGGGTTACCCTAAACCCTAAACCCTAAACCCTAAACCCTAAACCCTAAACCCTAAACCCTACGAACCTCCGAGGTGCTCTGTTCCGTGCTCAAAGAAGGACGTTACCAACTCCGAGCCATGGTGGCTGCAGCTCCGAGCACTCCAACAGGTTTAGGGTTTAGGGTTTAGGGTTTAGGGTTTAGGGTTTAGGGTTTAGGGTTTAGGGTTTTAGGGTTTTAGGGTTTAGGGTTTTGGGGTTTTAGGGTTTAAGGTTTTAAGGTTTTAGGGTTTTAGGGTTTGAGGGTTTGAGGGTTTGATGGTTTGAGGGTTTTAGGGCTTTAGGGTTTTAGGGCTTTAGGGTTTAGGGTTTTAGGGTTTTAGGGTTTTAGGGTTTTCGGGTTTTAGGGTTTTAGGGTTTAGGGTTTTAGGGTTTAGGGTTTTGGGGCTTAGGGCTTTGGGGATTTAGGGTTTTAGGGCTTTAGGGTTTTAGGGTTTGAGGGTTTGAGGGTTTGAGGGTTTAGGGGTTCAGGGTTTAGGGTTTTAGGGTTTGAGGGTTTGAGGGTTTGAGGGTCTGAGGGTTTGAGGGTTTGAGGGTTTGAGGGTTTGAGGGTTTGAGGGTTGAGGGGTTCAGGGTTTAGGGTTTTAGGGTTTGGGGCTTTGGGCTTTGGGGCCTTGGGGCTTGGAGCTTGGGGCTTGGGGCTTTGGGGCTTGGGGCTTGGGGGCTTGGGGTTTGGGGCTCAAGGCTTGAGGTTAAAAGTTTGGGGCTTCGGGCTTGGGGGCGTTTGGGGTGTCTGCCCTTCATACCCTTAATACCCTTCATTTCCTCCAACACCCTTGATACCCTCAACCCCGGCGCTGCCTCCCGGCCGCCTTCCCAAACCTTCCCAAGACCTGCGGAGAGGTTTCGCAGCTTGCAGATTGTGGTCTTGGGTTTAGGTCCAGGGTTTAGAAACATCGGGGTTTGGGGCTTAGGGCTTGGGGTTTAGGGTTTCGGGGTTAGGGTTGAGGGTTCCAAACCCCAAACCCTCAACCCCCAAGTTTCCGGCCAAGACCCCGATGGAAAATTAAAGGTGTTGAGGGGTATTTGGGGTATTGAGGGTACCTAGGGTATGAAGGGTGTTGAAGTTATTGAGAGTATTTAGAGTGTTCAGAAATTCAGAAGAGGAACTCGGTTTGTTCTAGGTCAAGGTAACTACGAGGTGTTGGGCGCTCCCCTAGGCTCTGAGGGGTAAACCCTTCATGCGAAAACCCCATAGGGTTTAGGGTGGGTTTAGGGTTGGGGTTTTAGAGTTTAGCGTTTAGGGTTGGTGCAAGCTACGTCAACTAAGGCTTATACTTGCAGATCCCCTGTGCTTGCAAACCCTAAAACTTACAGTAAGCCCAAAACCCCCCTAAACCCCGAAAAAAACAAAACTTGTGCAGAACCTCGGGTTCAGGGTTGGGGGTTAGGGGTTGAGGCGACAATCAACAGCGAAGCCTAAACTCCACAACCTTGGGGTTTAGGGCTTAGCGTTTAGGGTCGAGGGCTCACCTCTTTCCGACTTCTGACTCCCCTAAACCCCACACCCTAAACAGCTGAACAAGAGAACCTCAAAAAAAAGAGAGCTAAACTCCTAAATCAAATCCGAAACCCTCATTCTCAAGCTTCAGGGCTTTGGGGCCTTTTTCGGGTTTTAGAGGTTTTTAAGGGTTTGTCTACTTGTTTTGTTATTGTTTTTTTTGGCCGGGGTTTGAAAGGGGTTTCGGCTTTGGGGCGCAGCGAAGGGCGCGGACATCTTAAGGAGGCCGTCCATGAGCCCCTCGAGCAACTGCTTTGGCATCCTTCCTCTAGGGTTTAGGGTTTAGGGTTTAGGGTTTAGGGTTTAGGGTTTAGGGTTTAGGGTTTAGGCTTTAGGCTTTAGGCTTTAGGCTTTAGGGTTTAGGGTTTAGGGTTTAGGGTTTAGGGTTTAGGGTTTAGGGTTTTTAGTTTTTAGGGTTCAGGGTTTAGGGTGGCCGCAGCGTTTGCTCCAACAAGAGAAGCTTCTCGTACTTCTTGATGACTGTGTCCCTAAACCCTAAACCCTAAACCCTAAACCCACCTCTTATTTTTTGGAAGGACTTCACATCGAGCTCTGACTCCTTGACGTGTATCTGGAAGCACTTTCGCACATCGACGGTTAGAGGGGCCTTTAGGCTGTGGACGGGCTTTAGGGTTTAGGGCTTTGGGGCCCTTGGGGGCTTTGGGGTGTTAGGGCTTTGGGGCTTTGGGTCCTGCTCCACCTAAACCCTAAACCCTAAACCCTAAACCCTAAACCTAAACCCTAAACCCTAAACCCTAAACCCCTGCCTCCACCGCCGCAAGGCGGACGTCCGGGTTCGGCCAGCGCATCACCGCGGCCACGTGGTCCGCGTAGTGTCCGCCGGCTTCCCCTCGCTGGGTTTAGGGTTTAGGGTTTAGGGTTTAGGGTTTAGGGTTTAGGGTTTAGGGTTTAGGGTTTAGGGTTTAGGGTTTAGGGTTTAGGGTTTAGGGTTTAGGGTTTAGGGTGCAGGGCAACTAAGGGCATCTTACTTCTTTAGGAGCAGCCGTCAGCCTCATGGGGCAATGCCTCACCAGGAAAGCCGCTAGAACTCGCCCCCAGTGAGCAGAGAAGCCTGAACCCCAAAGGCCTCACCTCTGTGCCCAAAACCCCACAAAGCTTAAACCCTAAACCCTAAACCCTAAACCCTAAACCCTAAACCCTAAACCCTAAACCCTAAACCCTAACCACCACATGCGAAGTAAGGAGTCGGCCAAGCACCCCAAGTGCACGCACAGCCATGGCGATGACCTGCCCAAAGCAGAAGCCAAATGAGGCAATGGGGTTTAGGGTTTGGGACTTTCAGTTTAAGGTCTAGGGTTTTAGGGTTTAGGGTTTAAGGTTTAGGGTTTAGGGTTTAGGGTTTAGGGTTTAGGGTTTAGGGTGCAGGGTTTAGGGTTCAGGGTTCAGGGTTTTGGGTAGCAAAACAGCTTGTATACTTGCTGCCTCTGACTAAGCAATGTGCTCTTTTTGGGTTTAGGGTTTAGGGTTGAGGGCTTCAAGTGGCCCTAAACCCTGAACCCTAAACCCTAAACCCCAAACCCCAAACCCTTCTTTCGGGGCTTTCAGTTTTAGAGCTCAGGGAGTCGCAGGCCTCTACGCTACATCCCTGGGCCTTCTCTGAGGGCTTAGGTCATCCCTGGGCCTTATCGGGCTTTTGGGGGCGTTGTGCGGCTCAGGGCCTTGAGGCTTTCGGGCTTTTAGGGCTCTAAAACCTAAACCCTAACTCCTAAACCCTAAACCCTAAACCCTAAACCCTAAACCCTAAACCCTAAACCCTAAACCCTAAACCCACCCTGAAACCCCGAAACCTTCACCCAGGGCCCCTACCTCCGGCTTGGAGCTGGCGAGGTGCCGGGCGACCACCTCTGCGAGGCCCTGCTGGTTCCCAAGGAACTCCCCTTGGGAGGCCACCAACCTGGCAGTCCAGCCTACCTGCTTTGGGTTGGGGTTTAAGGTTTAGGGTTTAGGGTTTAGGGTTGAGGGTTTAGGGTTTAGGGTTTGGGGTTTTGGGGTTTGGGGTTTGGGGCTCAGGGCTTAGGGCTTAGGGCTTAGGGTTTAGGGTTTAGGGTTTAGGGTTTAGGGTTTAGGGTTTAGGGTTTAGGGTTTAGGGTTTAGGTTTAGGGGTTTTGGGGTTTTGGGGTTTAGGGGTTTAGGGGTTTAGGGGTTTAGGGGTTTAGGGGTTTAGGGGTTTAGGAGTTTAGGGGTTTAGGGGTTTAGGGGTTTAGGGGTTTAGGGGTTTAGGCTTTAGGGTTTAGGGTTTAGGGTTTAGGGTTAGGGTTCGGCAAACATGGGAGAATTGTAGCACTGGGGGTGCTGCAACCTCGTAAACAAGCTTAACGTGCCAAGCACGGATGTCAGGGATAGGGTTTTGGGGTTCAGGCTTGAGGTTTAGGGTTTAGGGTTTGAGGCTTGGGTTTAGGGTATGGGTGATGAAAAAGGCCCAGACTATAGCGCGACCCCCACATGAAGGCTCATGGGAAGTTCGACCATGAGGAGCGTGATGAGCAGGGTAACTGGCCTAGCCAAGGCACGTAATGACCCCAATTACTTCCTGAGCGTTTAGAACATAAACCCGAAACCACCCTGAACCCTAAACCCTAAACCCGAAACCCTAAACCCCTAAACCCGAAACCCTAAACCCTAAACCCGAAACCCTAAACCCTAAACCCGAAACCAACCCTGAAGCCCCAAGCCCCGAGTCTTTGAACCTCAAAACACATCGAGACCCACAGGACCCCCAAAGCCTCGAACCCTCACCCCGCTACGGCCCCCCCTCATCCCGAACACAACACCTACCAGTCTAGGGTTGAGGGGTTAGTGAAGAGGGGACTAAACCCTAAACCCTAAACCCTGAACCCTAAACCCTAAACCCTAAACCCTAAACCCTGAGAGTTTGGGGGTTTCGGTTTTGCTTCTTTAGGGCGCCTCAGCCCGTGGAGGATGGCATCTGGGTTGGTCGACTCCGCGAGGGCGTTGAGCCTTGGGTCTACATGTGGCGCGGGGAGGGGTTTAGGGTTTAGGGTTTAGGGTTTAGGGTCTAGGGTTTAGGGTTTAGGGTTTTGGGTTTTGGTTTTAGGGTTTAGGGCTTAGGGGTTTTAGGTTTAGGGTTTAGGGTTTAGGATTTAGGGTTTAGGGTTTAGGGGTTTTTAGGTTTCGGGTTTAGGGTTTAGGGTCTAGGGCTTAGGGTTTAGGGTTTAGGGTTTAGGGTTTAGGGTTTAGGGTTTAGGGTTTAGGGTTTAGGGTTTAGGGTTTAGGGTTTAGGGTTTAGGGTTTAGGGTTTAGGGTTTAGGGTTTAGGGTTCAGCAGCTCCGGATCGAGCAATTTTATGGTAGTGTTATATTTACGGCTTGGATATAACACCCACCCACCCAGAGAATCCCATAACATTAAGAAACCACATAAAGTATCTTCATACAAAAGTTCTTTTCAACGAAGACTACGGCTACAGAACAAATTCGTTCTTAAAAATCCGCATTGCATCACACAAAGATGAGCATTACAAGAAAAAGGGTTGGGGGTGGCGGGGGTGGGGGGGGTGGGGGCGGGGGTTGGGGGTGGGGTGGGGGCTTAGCCACCAAGGACTATAGGGTTTAAATATATATAGAAAGAGAGGTTTAGGGTTTAGGGTCTAGGGTCCGGGGTTTAGGGTCCGGGGTTTAGGGTTTAGGGTTTAGGGGTTTAGGGTTTAGGGTTTAGGGTTTAGGGTTTAGGGTTTAGGGTGTAGGGCCTAGGGTTCAAGGCATTGGTCCCTTGTTGTCTTTGCGTAGGGTGAAGGAGGGTTTGGGCAACTGGGGTAGGCATTAGCATGCAAGGCCCAATGAAGAAGCAATAAGATAACCCTAAACCCTAAACCCTAGACCCTCAACCCTAAACCCTAAATCCTAAACCCTGCGCAGAATTCAACTGTCCCACCTTGTGATGCGTGGGCTGGAGTCGTGCCACCCAAGGATTTGCCATCGTACCAATACTCGCAACCTGCTTCTGTGGGAAGCTTTGTCAATTAGCTGCTTCAACTATTTGAAAAATTAAACAAGTCGCCGCAGCCTGGCGGATTCGTGTCTCGTCCTGCGCTCCAGATCAAAGTGATGACAGCCAGTCTGCGCGGCTCGGACGGAGATGGTGCCCAATCCCCGCGGTGTATTCACCTCGATCGTGATGTGATTGAAGCTGCAATTCCTCAGGCCGACAGCAAAGTGACATTATGCCCGGGTCATCACTCGGAACCGGGTGAACACTCAGCACCTGCGAACCCTCCGCCCCAAACAGCACCTAAATCCCTATACCCTAAACCCTAAGCCCTATACCCTAAACCCTAAACCCTCAACCCTAAACCCTAAATCCCCCAACCCTATAAACCCCAAAATCCCTAGGTCCAAAAACCACGCCTTTGCCCACTCGGCTCCCCGCGTATCCTGGAAGGAGCTGTCGAGGGGAATGCCCCCGGTTTCCGCCTCGCGTTTCGGCTTCTGAGGGCTTAGGGTTTAAGGGTTAAGGTTTAAGGGTTTAAGTGTTTAAGGGTTTAAGGGTTTAGGGTTCAGGGTTTAGGGTTTGGGGTTTAGGGTTTGGGATTTAGGGTTTAGGGTTCGGGGTTTAAGGGTTTAAGGGTTTAAGGGTTTAAGGGTTTAAGGGTTTAAGGGTTTAAGGGTTTAAGGGTTTAAGGGTTTAAGGGTTTAAGGGTTTAAGGGTTTAAGGGTTTAAGGGTTTAAGGGTTTAAGGGTTTAAGGGTTTAAGGTTTAAGGGTTTAAGGGTTTAAGGGTTTAAGGGTTTAAGGGTTTAAGGGTTTAAGGGTTTAAGGGTTTAAGGGTTTAAGGGTTTAAGGGTTTAAGGGTTTAAGGGTTTAAGGGTTTAGGGTTTAGGGCTTAGGGTTTAGGGTTTAGGGTTTAGTAGAGTTTCGGGTTTTAGGGAAAAAAGAGGTCTAGACCAAACACCCGGAACTGTTCAGGGGTGTTCGGAGGGCGTATGTGCAGGGCACAGGGCTGGCTTTAGGCGTTCAGGGTGATTTGTATGAGGGCGGCGCTGAGCTTGGGGGGAGACCGCCTAAAAACCTAGACCTAGACTTAAAGCCAACAAGCTCAGCCCTACTCGAGACTTTACCCTACACCCCCGCACCCAAAATCGCGAACTAACTCTGTCAAAGCCCTGCCCCTAAACCTTCAATCCCCGGAACCCAAGCCCCCCAAAACCCAAGCAGATTTGTTCTACTCCTATAGCCATACAAGTCATGAGCCCCTAATGTACACCCCATGCGACTGCTGTCGTTATCTTTGTGTATGAACAATATTGCCTTCTGGGTTGCCTTGTAGCCTAGGATGAAACAGCGTGCCCTTCTTTGCATAAAGGGGTTTTTAAGGGACCCTAAACCCCTCAAAAAGGGAAAAAGGGCACGACTGGGTCGCTTCGTCTTAATCCCTTCCTGCCTTGATACTCATCTTGCCCAAGATCGCCGGTCTGAAGCCATCCAAGGCCGTGAATCCCAGGGGTCAGTCGGCACCAGGTAGGTGTCGGAAGGCTGGGGTGTGCTTGGGGCTTGGGGTGTTAGGGTTTACTGCTTAGGGCGTCCGGGGGGCCTTCTCAGAGCTGTCTGAGATGTTGAAGTCGGAGCTCCATAGGAATCATACTCTAAACCCTAAACCCTAAACCCTGAGTCCGAAACCTGAGACAAACTTCGCTCAAACCCCGAGCACTTCTCTACCTTAAGCTTTGTGTTTTCTGGGGCCCCTCCTGCCGAAACCCCTCGGCCCCAACCTTCACTGGGCTCGGAGCCATTACAAGGGGCGGTGCACGGGACAAAGCCAAGAGCAGGGGGGGAGTTGGGGGCTAGGGTTTGCGGTTAGGGTTTAGGGTTTGGGGAATTTCCTGAAGTAGGGGGGCACCCCTTACGTGCTCAAACATGCATGCCCTAAACCCTAAACTGAAAAGGTCGAAGAACCTCGAAGTAGGTGGTAGCCCTATTTTTAGTAGACCCCGGTCATCCGTGGTGCTTAGAAATTGTTGCGGCCCAGGTTCACCAGCTACCTGACAAAACAAAGTGCCCTGTTTGGGTTCACATAAGGTTGATAAAGGACCCTAAACCCTAAACCCTAAACCCTGAAAACAAAAAAAGCAAAAGGGTATTGCTGGGCATCACCGAAGCATGGGATGGTGGTACCTGTATGTGGGCCTTTGAAAGGCGACCCCGCATGTACCCCACGTATACCCTGTAAAACACAAGGGCCCATACTTCAGAACCCTTTCGAGAAGGTAAGGGACCATATTAAGGGACCATATTAAGGGACCATATTAAGGGACCACATGAAGGGACCATATTAAGGGACCATATTAAGGGTCCATATTAAGGGACCAGATTCCTGCCCTTAGATTGGGGGAGCCCCAGCCCCTAAACCCTAAACCCTAAACCCTAAACCCTAAACCCTAAACCCTAAACCCTAAACCCTAAACCCTAAACCCTAAACCCTAAACCCTAACCCTAAACCCTCAACCCCTACTAGGCTTGAGGTTCCATATTGTCTTGTCTTGGGGGGGGTGGGGGGTTAAGAGGCAACGGCTCAGGACTAAAGGCTCTAAGGTCCTAACCCTAAACCCCTAAACCCTAAACCCTAAACCCTAAACCCTAAACCCTAAACCCTAAACCCTGATAAAAACCCTGAGCCTTAAACTCTATACCCTCAACCCCAAACCCGAAACGCTAAACCCTACACCCCTGAACCCTCGACCCTAAACCCGTAACCCTACCTCCAAGAACCTAACCTCCGCAACACGGGATACCCAAACTTTCCCGGCAGCCCCAAGAGTCCAAGAAGCACATGAAGTCTCTTGCTATAGAACCCTTACATACGCCATTAAGAAGGGCCCGTTTGGGGTTTAGGGTTTAGGGTTTAGAGTTTAGGGTTAGGGTTTATATGCCCAAGTCTCTTGCTATAGAACCCGTATGTTGATATCCCCAAAAGGACACCCAATATATACACTCACCAATATTGAAAAGGAACCTTCTATACACTCACCAATAACAGTAATATGAATCCTGCTTCATATACGCTAGTAAGAAGGGCCCGTACTTCGGATCCCTAGGAACAAGGGTTTAGGGTTTAGGGTTTAGGGTTTAGGGTTTAGGGTAAGGAGACACACTAAGGGCCCATGGTTGCAACCTTTAGACCAAAGTCTGGGGTTTGAGGGCTTTCGGGTTGCAAAATGGGGTTAGGTTGGGTTTTGGAGCTGAGGCGTTGAGGGGTTTATGGCTTTCTTAGGGTTTAGGGTTTAGGGTTTTAGGGTTTAGGGTCTAGGGTTTAGGGTTTCGGGTTTAGGGTTTAGGGTTTAGGGTTTAGGGTTTAGGATTCAAGGGGTTTATGGCTTTCTTAGGGTTTCAGGGCCCAAGGGCTTGTGGCTTCTCATTTTAGGGTTTCCCGAGGTTGAGGGGCTGAATGGCTTAGGGTTTCCCAACCCTAAACCCTAAACCCTAAACCCTAAACCCTAAACCCTAAACCCTACACCCTATTCCCGGAAGCCCCGACAAGTCCCTGAGCTCCTCTTGCAGGCGCAGGTGCGCCGCGCGAAGGAGCTGGAGCTCCTTGTGTGCGCGAAACGCGGCGGGCGAAGCCCTCAACCCGGTTTAGGGTTTAGGGTTTAGGGTTTAGGGTTTAGGTTTAGGGTTTAGGGTTGAGGGTTTAGGGTTTAGGGTTTAGGGTTTAGGGTTTAGGGTTTAGGGTTTAAGGTTTAGGGTTTAGGGTTTAGGGTTTAGGGTCTCGGGTTTGGGGGTCTCCATGGGGCTAGGGCTTAGGAGTAGTTTTTTTTCATAGAATTTTACTTTAGCCCTACGTATGGCTCAACACTTGAGGTCTGCGGAAGCCAAGCCCTAAACTCTAAACCCTAAACCCTAAACCCTAAACCCTAAACCCTAAACCCTAAACCCTAAACCCTAAACCCTAAACCCTAAACCCTAAACCCTGACCCTGAACCCTGTGCCTGGTTCAGCAAGCTCATCTGCTGGTGCGTCTGTCGCATCGTCGCCTCTGCGTGCGCAGTCGCCTGACGCATGTTGCAGGTGGTTTTGGGCTAGGGTTTAGGGGATTTAGGGTTTAGGCGTTAGGGTTTAGGGTTTAGGGCTTAGGTTCCAGGGTTTAGGATTTAGGGTTTAGGACTTAGGGTTTAGGGTTTAGGGTTTACGGTTTACGGTTTAGGGTTTGGAGGGATTTAGGAGCACAGGGCTTAGGCCTCTGGCTGAATGCGATCCTTGCCACAGCTTTCTTTTTACGTCGTCGGATGGCATTGGTTCTGGTGAGCTCTGCTTTCGGGTTTAGGGTATAGGGTTCAGGGTTTAGGGCTTGGGGTTTAGGGTTTAGGGTTCAGGGTTTAGGGTTTAGGGCTAAGGGTTTGGGGTTTAGGGTTTGCAGAACAAAGCCAAAGCGCGTCCCAAACCCTGAAGCCGAAAAGTCTCGAAGCCCCAAACAAGCCCTGAAACCCAAAAAATCTAAAGCCAATCGAATCCCTCTAACCCAAGCCCTAAAGCCACACCCCTAAACCCTAAACCGCCTAAACCCTAAACCGCCTAAACCCTAAACCCTAAACCCTAAACCCTAAACCCTAAACCCTAAACCCTAAACCCTAAACCCTCAGCCTGGTAGCTGCCCTGGCACTTCCGTCCCATCAGCGCGTTCTCGTACCTCGCCTGGGCTCCATGGGCTCCGCAGACCGCCCCAAAACCCTACAACCCTAAACCCTGAATTAGGGTTTAGGGTTTAGGGTTTAGGGTTTAGGGTTTAGGGTTTAGGGTTTAGGGTTTAGGGTTTAGGGTTTAGGGTTTAGGGTTTAGGGTTTAGGGTTTAGGGTCCTCAAGCTCTGTAACCCCAAAAAATACCCTAAACCCTGAACCCTAAAAACCCCAAAAACACCCTAAACCCTGAACCCTAAAAAACCAAAACCCTCAAACCCTGAACCATAAAATCCCTAAACCCTAAACCCTAAACCTATACCCTACTCCCCAAACAAAAATAGAACTCCACTCACCCATGATAAGAGAAGCACCCTAAACCCTAAACCTTAAACCCTAATCCGCTGGCCTGATTCAGCTCGGACTCCAAGTCGCGCGCCTGACACTGAAGCTTGCCCAGTCATTCAGGGTTTGGGATTTACAGCATTTATATATATATATGTGCCATGGACCTTTAGGTATAATGTGATGACTTGCTTTGGGTTTTACTTCAACAGTACTAACAGTTATCAAATGAGTACTTGCGTTTTATATTATGCATATTGCTACTAGAAAGTAGGTGACATTTTATGGCTTTTGGGCTCATGGTCTAGGGTTGTGCATTCAACGGTTATAAAAGGATTGTGCGAACAGTCCAGGGTTTATCACCCCTTCCTGTTGTCGAGGAGAAAAGGGGTCGGATAACAGGAGAAGATCAAGGAACCATGGAACTGTGTTACATTCAGTCACTATTCACTTTACACCCTCTCCTCTCTTCCCTTTCTTAGAAGAAAAGGAAAGTGGAAGGAATCATCAAAGAAAAAGTCCGTCTCACTACCTTCATCCACCGTCTCCTCTTTTTTTTCTCTCTCTCTCTCTCTCTCTCTCTCACTCTCTCTCTCTCTCTCGCTCTCTCTCTCTCTCTCTCTCTCTCTCTTCTTACCGAGGAGAATAATGGCTACATATAAAGCACACATGTCAATCTCAACCCATTCGTCCTCCCTCTTCTGGCTGCTCTCTCACTTGTAGCTTTTGTCTCTTCTTGTTTTGCTTATGGAGGAGAGAATGCATAACACTAGATGAGCGAAGCGCATGGACGGGAAGAGCGAGAAGCAAGTAGTTGTTTGTTGCATAGGGGAGGCCCACTCTCCCCTAGAGCAGGGACGAGTTCCCCCCTGTTCCCTTCCTTTGCCTTCTTTAGTCCCTCCTCTGCGCTCCAACTGTTCTGTTCCGTCTTTTACGGAGAAAGAAGGGGTAAAGAAGAAGGACGAAGACGGTTCCCCTGTCCAATTGTGCATGTTCATTTTATCTACAGGAGTTAGCAAGAGTGCTTAAGCAAGCTAGATAAAGAGAACAACAAGAACAAGGACGAGGAAACCACGGGCAGAATGTACAAGGAAAAACACGAGGAATGAAATCCCATCGCAAAGATAAGTGCCCACACTCAGTCTCACTGCATTCATCCTCTAATCCTCTCTTCTTTCCCTTCTGTGGTTCTCTTCTTGTCCTCCTTCTTCTCTCTGCTCTCTCCCTTCTAGCTTGTGTCTCTTCTTGATTTTCTTGTGCGAGAGAGAATGCATAACACTAGATGAGCGAAGCACATGGACGGGAAGCGGAGAGAGAAGCAAGTAGTTTTTTGTTGCATAAGGAGGCCCACTCTCCCCCTAGGGCAGAGATGAGTTCCCCTGTTCCCTTCCTCTTGCCTTCTTTAATCTCTCCCCTGCGTTCCAAGTTTTCCGTTCCTTC